GGGGGGGGTTCAAAAAACAAAAGTATGGTTTCCTCTGACTATCCTAATCTCTGACCCCAACCTTCTATCTGGGCCTTCTGGGGTTCCCCTCACTTCCTCATGCAGTGACCAGGCAAATGGGGATGGGCATCAGGCCATTCAGTGTCCATCTCCAGGAGTCCCTCTAGATGCACCTAGGGGGATCTCCAGAGACTCAAGTCTTGGGCATCTTTAACTAGATGGTGCTGACTGCCCAGAAGCACTAGCTTGTATCACTCTCTGAGGACTCAAACCCCCAGGGACATACCAGGAAGCAGGGCTCACACTGGTTCTGCTCTTAGCACCCCCAGATGTCTCTCTTCTTCCAACCTTTCTTCTCACACTGAGGGTTGGTTGGTTGGTTGGTTGGTTGGTTGGTTGGTTGGTTTGTTTGTGGGATGGGAGAGTTGGTCTGGGGAAAGTTCTTTCCCTCCAAATTTCTTCAAGACACATAATCCGTTGGTTTAAAACCCATTGTTTCCTTACCAAAAAAAAAAAAAATCTCTTTTCGTAGAACAAAAGCTAGAAAGACTCCTTGGTGGTTTTCAACCGTCACATGCCTCCACGAAGGCAATGAGCAGACGGCACTGGCTGCCTGCATGCAGAGAGGGCAGGAGAGAAACAAGTGCAAATCTCAAGTGTTGGCCAGACACACTTGATAAACACATTTTTACCCCTTTTTGGTCACCCAAGATTTTTGTTGTGGTTGCTTGTGATTTCTTTTTTGGTAAATGATACTGTTCAAAAGAAATGTCAGAGTAAGCTTCTCTTTTGTTCCTCCCTTGGCACCTCTATTTCTCCACAGCCTCTGTCCACTCTGTCCCTCTCTCCAGTCCTTCACTGCCACCTCCCAGCCTGGCTCACACATTCTGAGAGAAGCTGGCCAGAAGGCACCACTGCTCCCCCAGTAGAGAGAAAAAATGGTGCCAAAGGCAGCAGCTCAGGTGGCCACACACAACCCCCCCAACGTTTCAGCCTGAAGCGCCCCTGTGCCCACCCCTGCACCTGGCCTGTTACAGTATGTGAGCACTGTCTGATTCCCACATCCCCAAATACCCTTTTAGCCTTCATCTCGCTTGGCCTCTCTCTATAAAAGATGGCCATTGCTTCTTCCTTAAAACTCTCTCCTTAGATTTGGCTTGAACGGTGCTCACCGGGTCTTCCCCTCCTCCACTGCCACAGCCTGCCCTCGGAGTCCGATCCTCCCATCAGCCTCTGATGGACAATGCTCCCCAAGGTCCTGTCCTCGGCCCTCTTCTCGCTCCGCAGCCCTCAGTGAACAATCTCAGCCTCTCTCCATGCCACAACGCCTACCAAAGCCTCAAAAATTCCCCAGGCATTCCCTCTCCTTCCCTCCTCCTCTCTTCTCCCTTTCTGACTCCACACACATACATGCCTGTTGACTGTTTAGCCTAGAAAACAAGCCAGAGACTGGCTAGATTGCTAATTTCCTATAACTGAAAGAGTGTCAGAGCCACAGAGCAGAGCAGAACCAAGCCGGCAGATTTCAACTCAATCTGAGGGAGCACGTTCTAACCGACAGCACTAGCCAGCAACAGGTGGGCTCCTTCGGAGGCAGCGAGCTCCTCGGGACTGGAAGTGGGTGGAGAGGATTCCTGCACACAGCACAAGGCCCAACTTAGCTATACCTATGTTCTCTCCCTCTTCTGAGACTCATACTTCTCAGGTCAGCATTCAGAGTTGGATGTATAGAAGGGTTTTGCTTTTTCTTGTTGTTGAGTACCTAAATTACAATTCTTAATTATAGGACACTGGTTAGAGATCGCTGTGATAGCTCCTTTTATTCAATTATTTTTTTAAATAACCATGATTTGTTTATCAAGTCATTTGTATTACAAATCCATTAGTCATACACACACTCTAGTTTTTATAGAGCAATTTTACTTGGTCATTGAATAAAGGCTTTCAGATTAAAGCATGGTTGCAAAGCTCACTGCTTCCAGGCATTTCTCCCTGTTCTATTCCTACACACAGTTTTAAAAAATAATATTAACAGAAAAGGAATCCTAAATAAATTCTAATCGAGTGTAACACAGACTTTTTAAAGGTTCTTCAAATACTCCAGCCTGGATTCTTCATCACCAACCTCGGATGTTCAACCGTAAATACAGGGGTGGGCAAAAGTAGGTTTACAGTTGTTCATATGGAAAATAATACAATAATAAATAATAATACCAGAACAAACTCTGTGTTTCAAGTACTCACAACTGTAAACCTACTTTTGCTCACCCCCACACAGCCAACGCAAACAGCGCACCATTACTGAATTAAATCTGTGCCGATATTTCCTGAACAATCTAATCTCATGCTGGGCTCCATCCATGCCATGAAACGGATGCTGAGGAGTAAGACGTGGTGCCACACGCAGGGAGTTCTCGCCCTAAAGAGGGAGGCAGACCCTTCAACCATGCCCGCAGCAGAGTGAGCAAGGCGAGCGTGATGCCTGTCAGACAGCAGGGAAGGCTAGGCAGAGGAGCCGATTCTTTGAATAACATCTTGCCTTTATTTTAAATACCTCATTGCAAAACCTGTATTAAAATAACAAAAATGTAAAAGCAAATTGCCTACAGCTCCACCATTTAATCAAGTTGTTTCCATTTGTCCATATTTGCAACATTATTGGAGTAGTTCTACAGTCTGTATTTTTACTTATCATTAATATTTTTCCATTTCACTACCTTTTCTCCTTACTCCCACCTCACCTCCTTGAGATAACCAGTGTTCACAGCCCAGCAAGTTATTTTTCTAAATCTTTCTCTATGCTTGATTCATCCTATGGGGGGCAATAGAACAATATCTAAATCAAAACTAACTACCCCCACACACACACTTTTTCCTGTTCTCCTGAGATACCCAACATTCAGCCATAAAAGCCGTTTTTATATTTATTTATTTATTTAAATCCTTGCCAAAGGATATGTTTCCACTGATTCTTAGAGAGACAGACAGAGACAGAAACATCGATCAGCGGCCTCCCACACATGCCCTGACTGGAGATGGAACCTGAACTGAAGTCTGTGCCCTGACTGGGAACCTTTTGGTGCATAGAACGACACTCCAACCAGCTGAGCCACCCAGCCAGAGCTGTTTTTATTTTTATCTCTAAGAGAACAGTTTTCTAGGTCCTTGCTCCAGTAGACCCCATTTCCCTCCTGCCTGCTTTGCTGAAAATAACCAGGAAGAGAAACCACAAAACTTAACTTCTAAAAAGTAAGAGAAATTCTAGATTCACAACTGCTCCTTGGATCACAGCAACAGCTTATGAATATTCTCTGCTGTTACTTACGCATGAGCACTTTTCATGCTCTCTTCTCTTCTTCCCTCCCTCCGACACACGCTCTCTCCACCCCGTGACTCCTGCTGTAACTGCTGGGGCTCACACACGGGCCAAAGCAGCCCGTCAATAACACCACCTTTCCATTCAGTGATGCTACCGCCCTCCTCCAGTCCCCAGCACTTCTTGGTTCAGTTTCTCAAGTTCACTTTATCGCACCAGACATCCTCATGCTCACACCAGTCTTACCAGCTATGACACTGGGAGGAGAGAGCAGTGTGGTGACAGAGTCTACAACTGTCCCTTCAGCAAGGACAGTGGGAGGAACATTTCATCTCCCCAGGACAGCCTTGGCCATGAAGCCCCTCCGTCAAAACCACTGCCTTTCCTCATAAGGTTCTGCTTTGTTCACACTTTGTGGTACCTCTGAAAAAATAGGTGAAATGGTTAAATGTTCATTTAACTACTGTGGAGTTGACTCTGGCTTCAGACGAAACTTTTTCTTGGTTCAACTTCAGTAAGAAGGCAGAGAGGTGAGAAGCAATCCCTCCGCCTGCCAAAAAGGCAAAGGTGACTTAGTCCGATGCATCACAGACCTGCCAAGGCACGGCCCCCAGATCCCACCTCTGGGCGCTCACACTCACAGGGCAGACCAAGAGAACAGGCTCCACGTCACCTGTGGGTTTAGGTCCCAGCTCTGCCATTTCCTGCTTGTGTGATCTTGAAGAGGTCAACATTTTGAGTCTTATTTTTCCCATCTCTAAAATGAGGTAATTTTTTTTAAAACAATGACTTCATATAAGTAATTATAAGCATTGAAACATGAAATGGAAAATAATTTTAAAATCCTTCCATGCCAACTGAGGGTTATACAATTGCTGGCTTAATTTGCCATTTAATTTTCCAGCCTACAGAAAGTCCTTGTTAACTAAGTAAATGGTCAATTTCCCATCAACAGGAAAAGAAGTCAGCCACAAAGTCACCAACGTTTCTTGGATTCCAATCCTTGGCCAATGGTGCCAGATCTACAGAAGCAAAACTAAAAAAATATTTTCTTTCACAGTAGTTTTAAGTCTCCAAGTACTCCACTCCTTAAAATGTAAGTCAGGGGCTTTAAATGAAGGGATAAGGTTTGCTCAGAAGTATCTAATTAAAGGGGGGGAGTGAAAAGTAGACAAAAACATATTGATTTTTTTTTTCTACCTTTATTTATAAAGAAAACAACTCCTCCTCCTGACACAGAAACACTCACACATCCAAGGAGGAGCTCATTAAAAACAACAACAGAACCAGGGGACAGTGGGACCTTATTTAACACCAGTCTGTGTGCCTGGCTCAGGGATCACTGGGAATACTTCCTCAGATATGACATCTCACCTCAAAGAAGAGAGCCCTTGATCTTGAGGGACCCATCTCCCAGCCAGGCAAAAAGCTTCACCTTCAGTCTTCAGCATCATCGAACTGTCCAGTTTCAAAGACCATCTTGGAATAATGGGGTATCAGTGGAGGTGGATGGTGCCAACTGGGGTCATAGATCATCTCTCCTTGCGGGGCACAGCACACCCAAGGTTTGACCTCTTGAGAAAGGCAACCCTGGATGTCGTCAGCATCTGCAGGCAGTTTTAAAAGACAGATTAAAGGAAGGAGGGAAGGTGAAAATGAATAGCCAAAAAATGTCGAGGAAAGATACTTGCGCTCTGCTTAAACACACACACACACACACACACACACACACACACACACACACACA